CATATGTTCTAGCTTATAATCTATTGAACAAACAATGTAATAGACTCAAAACTAAATAATAAAGTTATTAATTTACAATCAGTCAAATATGAAAAACTTGGCTTTGCAAGTTGTTTGTCTAACTGTAACTCGATAATTATTCATTATTTAGCTTTGAGGCTATTAAATCTTTTGTTCAGCAGATCATAAGCTACAACATGAAAGAAATCAGCTGATTTAACCGAAATCCATTTCACATAAGATTACTTGGTGTACTTTCCTCCGATAGTGAACTCAATTAACCCGGGTAGCAAGCATACGTCATTTTGACGTCGAATGACGTTAATTTGCTACTTGGGAAACTTTAAGATATGGTCTGCGCATTAGGCTCAATAAAATTTAAATGCGAAAATCTGTAAAAAATCTCTATTTTATTTTCAAATAATGTGTAAATATGTGTTAAATGTCAGACTAAATTCGTGACTTATAATCGTCCTTTCACTCTCTCTCTCGCTTTCTTTATGCTCCCAAATTTGTACGTTAGCCAATCCCCCACTGCTTCGCAGTCACGATCCCTACTGTTTGGACAAATTCGATGTTATCTTCGAAAATCGCCTTGTACACATGAAGAAGCAAATAAAGAAAGAGATTCGATCTCTCCCGGCGTCTCTCGATCAAAAACTTCGGCTATTACGATTTTCTGAATAGACTGGAGTTTCAAACATTGTCGATTCGCTACACATTCGTGGCATTTACACGTGATCTCACACTCGAATGCTTGACATATCGGATTTCGAAGATCCCTGACCTGCAAATAAAAAGAAGCTAGTTGACATGCGACAGGTATTTGCTACATTGATCGATATTTTATATATAGCCCGAATATTTAATTTCATTCAAACTCTCTCAAATCGAAAAAAGCATTTAGAATCGAGAAGCTTACTAGTATTAAAATTCATGGAGTTTCGTATTTGCCCATCTACAATTTCACTTCCCCTCTTTTTTCCATTTGTGTTAGTCGATATATCGAAAGTCGAGAAATTTTTTGACATAGTATATAGTTCGAATACTCTCATCACTTTTTCCCTAATAGCACACATATTCAAAAGACATTCAGAGGGCATGCAGAGGATATTCGGATGTCCTCAAGATATCCTCTGAACGTTTTTCGAATATGTTGTACTGTTAGGATTTGTGTTCATCATTCTTTTAAAAAAAGAGACAGACCAAAATCTTTTTTTGTATATTATCCTACTTATCAAGCTGGTGAAATAAGTTTGCGCGTCGAAAAAGATTTTTTATGTCTTATTATTATAATTATACATTCTTCATAATCTTTTCCGTCGTGTCTCCAACTGACATTTCGAAAACGACGCGCCGACGACGCGTGTTGGTTATATACGGGCTATTTGAGAGCCGGCGAGGGCATTCTTAGGGGTGTTTCTCCACTGTGTTCGTTGCACAATGTAACACTATCCCCTTTTGTAACAGCGCAACCTTGAAGTGTCTTTAATGCGAAACCTAGAGCGCGAGCATGCTTATCGCCCTCCATTATTTTTTTCATGAATATTCTTGTTATGAGCATCTAAGAGGCCGGAACTTTAAGGTGGTCTTTCACTTTTGTTCGCGTATACAGCCGACGTGCTTATCGATGCTAATTTACAAACATTTTTTAATCTTTTTAAAATTATTTTGCAAGATTATTAAATGTACCCAATATAAATATTTTATATATTATTAAATGTACTTAATATAAATATTTTTAAACTAGCCAATTTATTTTTGTCCGATTATTTGTAGTTTTCGAAATACTGTGGATCTGACAATTGTTTGTTAATATTCATTGTTCATCGTATCGACGCATATTATAGATTAAGGAAATTTATATATAAAAATTATCATACAAAATCAACTAATTTCTAACAATGCTTAAGCTCGTATATAAACAAACACAATGATAAATTATTAAATATTATGAGGCCATGTGTAACGAGCAATTAAAAATTTCGTCTTTTAATTTTGACATAAGTATTTAATTTAATTTATTTTGACATTATATTGCGACTTTTTATTAGAATTTTTATTTAAATTTATTTAATTATTATAATGATTATTGCGCACTGAAGAAGACTGAGTACAGGTCGAAACGTTTGTAATTGGTTTTTTTAAATTAAAGTTTTTCCAAGATTATAATAATTTTTTAATTGCTCGTTACACATGGCCTCATAATATTTAAAAACTTATATATACTAGGACTCTATTACCAATGCTTATTATTTCCAGTTTCTTCATAGTTTTTCATCTAAATCGATTTTTTAATCAAATACTTTTTAAATACTTTTTAGTTAACATTCCAGCTTTGTTTAATTTATAAACATGATATAGATTAAATATACATATATATATTGTATATGTGTGTGTGTGTTTCTAAATAAGTACAAAAAACTATAAGAAATGATTTTTTGACGAAAATTAAGAGGAGGTTTTCATATAAACGTATACTCTTTTTTCATACCCTTCCTGAATAGTTACATTTTTCCAAAGAGAGAGGTAAAAATTAGGTTTTTATTTGCTTTATAAATTTGGGACAAGTTGAAAAATGAAATTTAGTGGTTTTCCACTAATAGAAAGAATATTTATTAATAATCTTTTTACATTATTATAAGGGGATAAAATTAACAATCCCAATGTAATTTTTTTTAGAAATTTTTAATCGGGATGTGATCATCTAAAAATATGCGTAGATTCTTGATTCTTTTAGAAACTCTTTTTTTATCAAATTAATATTTTTCAAGAAAAAATCATAAAAACCTAATTTTTACCTTTTCCTCTGAAGAAGTGTAATTCCTCAGAGAAGGATATAGAAGCATATTTCTTAATTTTCGACAAAGAATCATGTAAAATTTTTCACACTTATTTAGAAACACCCTATAAATACTTATTCGCGTATAAAAAGTATTAAATTTCTACAAATATAATTATTTTTGTAACATCTCGTAGATTTTAAATATCATGAATCTTCCTCTACAGCACGAAATATTGCTAAAATATTGCATAAATATTGCGCCATATTACAAATATTGTAGCAATATTGTGCAAATATTAAAAGTTAATATTTTATTGGAAACATTGCAAAATATTACTGCTATGTTATAATGGAATTACATAGTTCTTTCGTTTTCACAGGGAACTCAAATATTAAATTAATTACTCAGAAATCGGACAAATAAATATCTGAATAAATGAAGAAAATAAAAAATAAGACATATTTTACAATATTTTATAAATTTACGTTTGCAAAAATAAATCAGCATCATTGCAGAAATGTTGCATAATATATAGTTTAAAAGCGGACATATATATATTGTGGCAAGCCTTCAGGAATATTGCATGCAATATTTCAATCTTGCAAAAACAATATTCTTTTAATATTTCTGCAATATTTCGTGCTATAGGGGTTGTAACTCGATAACTGTCGCTAATTGTCGCGATCGTTTTCTCGTGCGGTTTTTCCAGCAAAATGACGACGAACTCCCTGAATTTCGTTACAATCGAACGTTTTGCAATAAGGGGTGTATTTCGTATTCACAATAAGTCCCTCAAGTGTCTTTAACGCGTACAGTAGCGCGCCATTCAATGGTCGGTGCTCACAAATACGCAGCGGGGTGTCCGAACTCTCTTGAGATTCGCCACTTTGATATGAATGTCGGTGATCGGGAGAAAAATTATAGTCTAGTCAGCTATGAGTGCGAACGAGCCTCCACAGCCAATACTTTACCTCACGACCCGGGACTTAATATGTTTATTGCTGTGAGAATGTCGGCCTCGGATAGGTAGTAGATTTTTATCTCCCATCGCGCCTTTTAACTCGGTCTCTCATAATGTTCGGCGACGAATGAGTGAAAAACGAATCCCAATCCTCCTCTTTAGTTTTGATAATCTCTTCTCTTTTTTTCCTCTTTTTGTCAATTTTTTATAACATGCTCCGTTGCACTAGATTTATCGATCCTTATAAATTTGTTGATAATATTATTGAAATATGTTATTATATAAATTTTTTTATATAAAGAATAATGCAAACACAAATGCGGGCCAGAGTAAAAAATTATCTGACAATTGTTTCTTATCGATGGAATTAATTAAATTGTTAAATTATTTCTTTGTAACTGTATTTTATAACTTTTATTATTATATGTATATAAACAATATATATATAAGTATATATATATATATAGGTACAATATACAATAACATAAATTGAATTTAAATGAATGAATATATTTTTATTATCTTGTTAAAATATTTACACATTTTAATTTAATAGTTTACATCATGATAACATATGTGAATGTATTGAATTTTATTAATTAATATCACGACGTCATTGCGAGGCGATTTTCAGTGTCTTTCAAATATGAAACTGATATATATCTAAATTTTTATTTCAATTTTTTATAGACTCAATCCGTTCTTTCTATATAATATACCAGATACCTTGTTTTATTATTTTATCATAAATTTGCGAAAACACAGCAACCCTTAAAAATAAAAAAAACCATAATCAAACATATACCTTTAAATGCTATTATTTATGTAAGATTGTAGTTTGTAAAGCAGAAACGCAACTTTAAATTATTTTTTTAATAATTGAAGAATAAAGACACATTAAAACAACAATAATATATTGTTATTATTATTTTTTTTTTAAATTGATTATTTTTTTCTAGTTGTACCGATAGAAACGATCTCTGTACAAAGGTTTGCTTTATGCAAGCTGAAGTCATCTATTAACAAAAAGATGAACTAAATTTTTAATCAATAATTCTCTAAAAGATGTTTTTAAATTTAAAAAAATTAAAAATTTGATATACTTTATATCTCTTTTTTATTTTTAATAATTTATTTTCCAGAAAAGCATTCTTATACAAAAGAGTTGAATGGTTTATTGTAAAAGATATAAAAGTTTTGTTACTAAATTTGTTCAGTTTAAGTATATAAAGTGTTCTTTTTTTTAAATTTAGGTAAAATGCAAAACAAAATATTTCGGGAGCAATCAAGTGCGTCATCTGTCAATAAATATATGAGTGTCGAGGAAAAACGCATCGATATACCGATAGTCGACAATAAAGAATTCAGGTAAATTATCTTTTCAGCTGCTTTTATTATTACCCTATCTACACCTAAGGATAATCCTACTTGTAGCCATAAACATATAGAATGAACTGTGCCATCCGCTCTTAAAAAATGGTCGTTTAGAGTGAGAGAGATAGAACGTGAAGACGGCCATCTCTATCCTTTTCTATTCAGTATCAATCACAACACTAGAAAGAGATGGAGATTGGCTGTCTTCACGCTCTGTCTCTCTTTTTGACGACCACATTTGGTGCACGGATGGCGCAGTCCATACTATATGTCTATACTTGTAGCTTATTTCAATGAGTAGTATAAACGATAAAAAAATCATTAAGAAGTTTACCAACCGAAAAAATTTACGATTGAAAACCAACTTCAGTATGATTTTTGATTGCCTATACTATTCATCACTGCAATTAGCTACAAGTAGGGTTATCCTTAGGTTAGGTATAAATAGGGTATATATTAATTTTATTATTTGTGAATATAAATTAAGTGTAATTAAAATTCAACACATCATATCTGACATTTCTCACTCGCATCTTAGGATGGATTTGATCGCGCGCATCGAAGCTGTTACATTAAAAATAATTAACCAGATAGCTGCTGGACAACCACCTTGTATATCGTACTGCAATATTGATAAAAGTATTGCTACAAAAAAATCAAATTTGTGTGAGAAAAATGTTCACGCAGAGTGCTCAAGCAGTCTTCAATTAAATACAATATCCAACGATTTTTCGTCCAATTTTGCCGATAAGCAAGACACAGGAGAAAAAAATAGTTTCGAAAATTCGAAAAAAACCATCGATTTCGCAATAGAAAACAGCAGAAATAAATTTACCCTAATGGTGATGATATTATCCGAAGTTCATCATTTGTTGTTAACAAACACAACCAAGACGAAACGATCGTTTTACTACGATTTGAAGAATAAAGTAACGAAAAGTTTAATGCTCAATCAAAGATCTATTGATTGTGCATTGAATAGTGTCGCTAATTTATTAGATTGCGCTCCATGGGATTTGAGTAAGTTTTTAAAATTATATTTATATATATTGTTTAATTGTGGAAAACTGTATAAAATTTATTATTAATGTATAAATTAAAAAATTATATATATAAACAATTTAAGGGGATGCTGCAGGTATGTTTTTACCGACCGAATGCGAATATTTAGTTTTTTTATATATCTCTATATTGACTATACTGATCAATAAATCCTTTTCCACAATTAAAGTACTTATAAAAACAGACCGCGCTAGCTATAATTACATATATAAATCATATAAAAATAAAAAATTACAGTTTTGTTATCGACTTCTTTTGTGTCAGTTCGTAACAATACTTATTTAATTAAAAAGTTCTGCAGTTTGTTTGTGCATAAAATATAGTATACGCGGTAAGGATAATGTGAAGAAATATTAGTAAATAATTAAAAGTGAGATTGCAAATCTAATAAAAAAGTTATATATTAAAAACATTTTCACGCATATATGTTGTATACGTGCATATGTTTAGATATGTGTGGTACTAACCTATCATGTGTTATGTGTATACGTGCATATGTTTAGATGTGTGGTGCTAATCTATCGGAGTTTGGTCGTTACTCCGGCATCCCCTTAAGATGATCCTAACGCAATACCGTTTTACCGATAAAACGATCATTTCTAAAAAAATTTTTTTTTGTTTTTAACATAAAATTGATAAGTTCCTGTTTTGTTTTTATATATACTATAATCATGGAAAGGCATTTATTATTCTATTCAATCAATAAAAAGAAAAGGGTGCAGAAAAATGATTGTTTTATCAATAAAACAAGACAAAAAAAAGAGATTGGTAACCAAATGGGACTTTTCAGGATTTTTAGCAATGACTAAAGGATTAGTGGCAGGAAATATGACCATCACACTAATCGACAATCGAGTTATCGATTGTGCGATACTAGGAGGCGTGCAGATCCCACAGATTACTTTAAACGCGACTTCAATTCGTGTAAAGGCCAACTTTGTCTTGGTTATCGAGAAAGACGCGATTTTCCAAAAATTGCTCGAGGAAGACTGTCCACGTATTTTAAAATGCATTTTAGTGACAGGAAAGGGCTATCCAGATGTAAATACCAGAATGCTGGTTAATATCCTGTCTGAAAAAGTAGGCCTACCGATTTACATAATCGTAGACGCGGATCCTTTTGGTGTGGACATTATGTTACTTTATCGGTAATTTAAACCAAAATTTCGTTGTCGCTTTTCATCAGAATTATTCTAGAACGAGACATTCTTCTATTTTTTTGAATACACGATATATATAGAGTGTCCCAGGCTTACTGTACGATTTGTTAATGAGAGATTTTTAAAAATTTTCTGGAAGCAAAAATGTCGAGGGAGGTCATCATTTTTTACAAAGTTCCGATTTTTGCCATCATATCTTTGTAACTAAGCCTTAAATTAAAATTTTATTAAATTAAATTTTACCTAAAATTAACTAAAAAATGTAGTTTTGTTAATATTTTATTTTCACAAGGCTTAGTTTCTAAATAATGCCAAGAATTTGTGTATAATTAACAGTAAATCTGGACATTTTATAAATCGTAAGATTTATAGTTTTTCAATCTCGCGCGTTTTAGGTTTCTCGTATTTTATATTTCCGTACTTTTTGCGATGTTATATATTGATTTTTTGTATTGTAGTTTTGGCTCGTCGATCCTTTGCAGACAGAACAAGTGTTTGGCTTGTCCTAATGCACGCTGGCTCGGAATTCATCCTTCAGAATTAACTATTTTAGGAGTGAAAACAGTCTCGCTCACCCAGATCGATTCCATGAAACTGAAATCCATTGAAACCAAGACTTACATAAACGATGCTATATCAAAAGAGCTAAGCATATTGAAGAAAGGCAAGACCGATATAGGGGTATTGTCCTTTACAAGAAACTTTCTCACAGCAACGTATTTGCCTTATAAGATAGACGGCAAAAAATATATTTAAAATATTATATTTTCTTTTATTTCTCTTTCTCTCTTCTTTTTTTATATGTATAATTAGAGATTCTTTTTAAGATTCTTTTTACAAGATTCTTTTAATTGACACAAAACTGTCTAACTGAAATTAATTTTATAGTTGTAACTATGTTTTTTTATAAAAAATAATATGAGAGAAGATTCTCTTCAAAGTTTTTAGAGTGAAATAAAAATATGTGTTCTATTTTAAACAACATTCTCGTTTTATAACAAGATAGACGGCAAAAAATATATTTAAAATATTATATTTTCTTTTATTTCTCTTTCTCTCTTCTTTTTTTATATGTATAATTAGAGATTCTTTTTAAGATTCTTTTTATAAGATTCTTTTAATTGATACAAACCTATCTAACTGAAATTAATTTTATATAGTTGTAACTATGTTTTCTTATAAAAAATAATATGAGAGAAGATTCTCTTAAAAGCTTTTAGAGTGAAATAAAAATGTGTTCTATTTTAAAAAACGTTCTCGTTTTAGACATTGATGTCTTTTCTGAAAAAAAAATTTATTGTTATAACATCATAAACTGCGAACATACACACCTTTTCATGAAACAAAAATCAATATATATATATATATATATATATATATATATATATATTATTTTTTGTTAAATAAAAACTTATAATTTGTCAAATCTCCAATTTTGATTGTCCATCAAGACTATAAGAAAAGAGTAAATATTGGATAAATAAATTAAGACTTTTTTCAGATATAATGTAACAGTTTATTGAAAACACTTTATCCGCCCAATGTCCGGGCCGAGCCTCGCTGATATTAAAAAACGCAGAATCTTAATAACATGATTATTTTGTAGGTGTTACGTTGAAGATAACTTGGACATTATCCGCGAAATCGACGACATATTATGAGTTTATAAACTAAGTTAATTTTAATTATTCTCGAAAATTGCAATAAGAGGAAGAGAGAAGTTTGAATTCTTCCTTTTTCTTATAATAAATTTGGATCAATTATTCTAACAAAATGAGAGAAAAAGTCATGTGAATATATACATATATATATATATAAAATATTAGAAATATCGGAGTAAATATGTCTCACCAATTCGCGTTTTATAAGTATGCCAAAAGCAATTTAAAAAAGCTATTATGTAATAACATGATTATCAAGCATTTCTTTGGAACATTTTATTAATTATATTTTCCTTTTGATATGCTGGTAAATTATGTTTTCTTTAGCAGACCAAAGAATAAAATCAACTTTTATTATAGCTCTCGCACATTTATCATCTCTTTTTTTTTCGACATCACCGAATACATCGGTACAAATTATTGATTAGCCGATTTCGTGGATATTTTCAGTGCAGGGGGGAGTCCGTGCGAATATCGCCAAAAATCTAGTATAAATTACTTTCGTATCCGTTTCAAGTCGAAAGCGAGAATCGATCGAGCATTCCAAATTACGTCCGTGACTGTCGTCTCGAATGTGTATCGAGCATTTTGATGAAATATTATATATAGATATAAAAAACAATCTTTCTAAATAGTCGAACATGCGCTTTCGAGCGGGTACAGACTCGTGTGGAATCATAAATCGTTGAAAAAAAAAAATATCGCTCTCGTCATCAAGAGGTCAATTTGCTCTCTGTCGCTAGCACGATCGATTGTCAAATGATGAAAATTCAATATATCTACATTAAAAAGAGAATCTCAATATTCTCGAATATACGGGTAAAAATTCCAAAGTTATCTAGAATTTACATGTGTAATGTATTTTTTAGCAATACTAGTTCTTTTTATAACACTAGTTTACGACCAAAAATTATTTTTAACCAGACAAAGTTTCTTATAGATTTTTAAGTGCTAAAAATGATGCCGGAAACCAAACACTAGCACATCAAATTTCCAAAATAATGAAGATTAATGTCTAAAAAATGGCTTTTTGGAATATTTAAGATTTCTTGCAAAAAAGATTAACATTATCTGGAAAGTCTAATCAAATATCATGACTGCATTGTTCATGCCTTATAAAATGCATTGCTTTTTATTGCAATATTTTTTTACAATAAATCTTAAATATCGCAAAAAATCATTTTTTGCATATTAAACCAAATTATTTCAATTATTTCGAAAACTTAACGTGTTGGTGAAAATTGTCTTGCAGCATCATATAAACACTTTGTCCGGTTTAAAATAATGAAAAAACATTTTTTTTTGTAAACTAGTGCGTAATCAGTGGAATTAAATACTACGGAAAGATCATTGATTATTAATTTTTTTATGGACTCAATAAGGGGAAAAATAACTGAACTGACTTTTTATATACACTAAATTTCTAAATTATCGGAGATTGATGCATTTTGTTTGACAATCGACAGTCGATGTGACAAATGTACATAATCCGCATGAATTTGTTCGCACGGGCCCAATTCTTATATCTATTTCCGCATGAACTACCTGTTTTTTTTTTTTAATATGTTGCATTGTGTAAATGTGTATGTATGTATTTTTTGTATATGCCGAATGATTATAAGTATACTTTTCTTTGCTTTTTATGCTTTTTTCTCTTTAGCCTAATGGCGATAATACGTTTTACCAAAAGCTATGGAGATATCCTTACGCGCTGCTACCAAGGTTTCTTTGCTGCGATTAATTTCATAATTCGCATGCTTGTTGCGTGTCTGCCTTTGTGATAACTTATTTTCTTCCATTGCTCTATGCTTACATTTAATTTGCCTCTCACTTTCTTCTGCCATTATTATATTTAATAATTGATTGTGATTTTTTACACACGCACATGCTCTCCCGCTTTCAACCTTACATTCGCTCTATCTTTTTCTTCCTTCCTCCTCCTTGTAGCTTATTTCAATTTCAAATAACCAATCGCTTTCTCTTTCTTTCTCACACACAGACACGCACACACATACATACATACACACACACACATATCTCTCTCTCTCTCTCTCTCTCTCTCTCTCTCTCTCTCTCTCTCTCTCTCCTCCTCCTCCTCTCTCGCTTCTTAGATTTAACAATTCATATTTCTATCGCTCGCGTACATATTTATTCGGGGATAAATGGAAGCGATATTGTTAACGACGAACTTTTTCTTGCACTACAAACGACCATTCATTTGTCGCGAAATGGAGGAACCTTATCAAAAATGTACTGTTTGTTGCATATTGCATGCAATGCAATTGCCTGTTAATTTGAAAATTTATTACAAAGATTTGTTAAAAGATAATGAAACAGGATTTAAACACCGAAAAAAAGATTTGTTAATTTGACTAAACCTTCCAACTAAATTACTGTTTTCCCTAATAGCACAACATATCCGAAACATATTCAGAAGATTTTCAGAGGATATTTAGAAAACATTCGAACATCCTCAGAATGATCTCTGAATGTCTTCGGGATATGTGTGCTATTAGGATTGTCAATTGAACATATATTAGATTTAATATATTATATTTAATTTAAATATTTTTTATGTTCAATTAACAAAATAATATTTAGTTAAAAGATTTAGTCGAGTTACCACATTTTTTTTCAGTGAACAAACTTTTGCTGAGGATCAATTTTAAACTTGTCCAGCGAAGCCAATAGACAATTTTTTTCGAAGCCTCCATTAGGCGCCGTATTTTTTTGTACTTTCTACAGTCGACAGCGGGCACATCATCTCGACCTCTCTAACGACCCTTTTTTTGCGTTCTACTTCTATTCTCACAAAAATCGCACTCGCAAAGTCTTTTCAGCCGCAATATTAAGACTTCGCACACATCGCGACTTACAATATACAATACATACACAAACCAGCGATCATTCACGAGTATTCATTAAAATTATTATTAAGTAGCTTTCTTTTCTCTCCGCTTCTCTCTATTTATTATCGTTTGATTAGTTGCACTAGCCTTGATTGTCGGCATTTAAGGGCTGCTGATCATGCAGCGTACATAATATGGCGACACTTCCTTGTTTGAGCGCGCCTCTTCCTTAATTAACACTTATATGAGGACTCGTAAATTATTTCTTTTTTCTTCAAACTTGAAACTGAATCGACAATTCTCGTGTCTCAAACAGTACTTATGATTTGATAAAATTTTTTTAAGGTAGAAAGGCAGTAGGCGAATTTTTTTGTTCACTGCGCGTGATTTGACGCAAAACGCGGCTCTGTTTCTTGATGTTCCAAAATGAGATTAACAATAAGTTAATAAAAAACAAATTCTCTTAACACCTTTAACATAAATATTATATAAAAACCTACTATAGTATTATTTAATAAATAAATAATAATATAAATAATAATACTGATCAACACTAATTTTATTACCAATTATATTAAATCGATTTCAAGGTAACTTATTATGTCACTAATTTCGAATATGATTTTTCTATTGGCTTTAATTTTTAAAATAATGAGTGCCCCACGAAAAACATACAAAATGCAAAAAAATATGGTCAGGTATAATCTAAAATTTATAATTTAAAAAGGCGTTCCCAAATGATATGGAAACTGTTTCAAAGCATCTCACAAATATATTGTATATATGAAATACCTAATATGTATGGAGTTGTATTCAGTGAAATTAAAAAAGCGAAGTAAGTTGATTCAGTTAATTAAAATTAATGCATTAGAAAAACGCTGTTTGTACGATTTGTTAAATATATAAGTCATCAGGATCACGTTAGAGATAGAAACAATGTTAAAGAATAAAAACATTGTTGCTAAGTCAAGTTTGAGATAAAATTGTAATTTGAATATCCATTATCTCAAAAACTAGAGTCAATTTGGTATAACTATTATCATTTTAGATTCAGTATTCCTAAAATACCCTAAATTCATTCAAACATCCTTGGCAACTAAATAAAACATTTTCTTTTGTTGACCAGTATAATATAATAGTCGATATAAGCGGTTTATTTTAATAATAAAAAAGATGTAATGCAAAGAAAAATAAGACGTCAAGAGTAGTAAGGCATTAAAATTTTCAATTTTCGCATTTCAATTCCTGAAATATATATGTGAAAGATATCTTACGTCGAAAATATTTACGAGTCCTATTATTTTTCGACATTGTCGAATGATCTTTATATCGTTTCCGAACATTCGCTTCTCACAATAGTGGAACAGTAGTAGAAATGATTTATATGTGACAATAAGCGTACGATGTCTCGCCATATTTCGTCTTCTATTGTTCCACGTAAAAGCATCGCAATAATATATCCGGAAACCTCTATGTCGAATGCCTGATCGCTTCTGATCGATGATCAACAGCTAATCATGACGATTCTATAAGTAGGTTCATATCGTCTGTTTAGTATCATCGTTCATCCATTCGGGATCGATTAATTTATCTCGAAAAGATATACAACGAGTCTAATATCTGCACCTTCGACAAAATTCGAATTCACATACATATATGCTCTATATGACAAGTAACATATTTTTATAAATCTTGTCGAGAATCTGTCAAAGAAACCAATTTATCCACGATCCACCATTCGTTCTATGAATCTCTCGCGACTTCTCTTCTAGGCATCAGCGCGAGATCTCGTCGAAGGAGCCTCTCACATTTCTCATAGGTGTATACGTATGTACAAATATCCAAAATTCAAATGGATTAGAGGAAAGGAGAAGGGGTGGGTCGAGATGGGAGTATGTAAGGTGGGGTGGAACAATTTTTTTACGCATCACGATACATAGAACTAGGCGCCAAGCTGTACAACACAAAATTTACAGTAGCCCTCTGTCCGGATTCTATATATATATATGTATATATAATGGTAAATATGTCGATGCCTGTGGACGAACGTCACCGCATAGGCGTAGATACTTTTTTCCTCGTTTAAAATCGAGGAGGCACCAGTGACGTAGCTAAAAAAAGAAGAACATGAGACGCGGAAGCTTGCAAACTTTTTCTGTGAACAAACTGTGTGATAATTCAATTTGAGATTTTCAATCCATGGATTTTCATCAATTTCACCGAACAATTGTCGATTACAGTGTGCAAAAGAAATTTTCCCTTTATACGTTATTCGAGTATAATATACACACTATAATTTGATAAACTCCCCAAAGTATGCAAAGAATGAGATATAAAAAAGAAATGCAAGTTTGCAGACTTCCAATAAGCTCTGTACGTTAAAATCTTATTCAATTCGTAATAATCGCGTCTTTAGTTCGCTCTACGAAATCTCATCAGGCCCTTTCTACATGAGCGCCCTTAGGACTTGGAACACAGCAAAACGTTAATGGACGAGCTTGCAAACACCCGATGTCGATATTTCGCAATGTCGTTCCTGTCGATGGCACTACGACTTAGGGATTTGCAAGCCGTCGATAAGCTCCGCACATAATAATTCGGTCTGCGCTTTCGAACACGCATTTCGTTTTCTCTTGCGCTCTTCGAAATTTGCCCAAAATCGATTTCACGGCAAATACGCGCGTTTGTTCGGTGCATTTTATTATTATCGAACAAATCTCGCTCGCGTGAAATTGCGAAACCTTTGCAAATGAGAGATTCATGTTCGATGACAATTCACACATTATCTGACGAATTATAGAACTATCGAATATCGAATCCACGTGGAAAGCGCGAGAGACATCGTTCAATAATATACAAAAATACTGCCAAGCAGAAAAGAGGATTCATCGTTTTTTCGTTTTTCGTCAAATATCTTTCACAATACCTGAATTCCCTCATATGACTTGGTGATGTATGTATCACTAATTGCACATTCAGAGAGAGAAATGAATGAGTTCTCCAAGAGAAATCTGAATAGATGAATGATACATGCACGTTATAACGATATATATTGCTCGTACAAATACCATTTTATTTCCTTGAATGGAATCATCCCCATCTTCCCCATCTTTTTTCCGCATAAATTCGCATATACGCATAGTTCTTCTTTCATTTTTTTCTTATTGTTAGTCGTTTTAGATAAACAATCGTGTTTTTGTTTTTCTCGCCTTGTCACATTTTTAATTAACAGCCAGATTTATTTTGCGATTCAGGCTTCAAACGAGTTTTATTCCGCTCACAAGTGTAATTGCCGTGATTTCGAGGACAAGTCTCCGTTTCAACGTTCGTTCTGGATGTATCGGAAGTAGACGCACTAGAGACAACAAAGAATTTTTCGGCTTGAGGCACTAGGAGACATCCAGGGCGAGGCACTCGGCGAGGAAGTCCTCCATGGAACGATAAGCGTGTTCGAGCACACCCGTCAGGGCATGATCTTCGTCCGCATAACTCTTTTTCCCCGAAAGAAACGATTAAATAGATTGAGCGATAATTATATACACTCCGTTCAACGAGAAAACGTGCATTGAATTAGACAAAAATTCCATTTTCGCCCATAGTCTTCCTCTTCACTGTTTATTTAACTTGTCAGTGTCTGCTATGAATATCAGGTCTCCGAAGCATTGGAATTGTTCCAATTTCGATCGGACACAATCTTGATCGGACATAATTCCGATCACACATTTCCAAATAAGTTTGTAGGGTCTACACATATTGACCAGTGCTTTCAATTCTTAACAAAGTTTATAAATGTACATTTCCACATACATAGGTTTGCAACTCTTCGCAACATACAAGGTTCATTAGAAACTTGTGTCCCATCGGGATTGTGTTCGATCGGAAAATATTGGGTTTGCCCTTATTGTTGCATTGGTGAACTAGTGCACACTGGTGCAGTAAGTTAAAATATAATTAAATATATTTGTCTCACTTTAACTTATTGCATTAATTCACCAGTGCAGCAACAAAGAACAAACCCATTGTCGTGTCCGATTGATGCGCAATTGGGACTCACTCGAAGCATTGCATTGGACCGCCGATATCTTTTCCTATTTTGCTCGTCTATATGTAGACCGATGCGTGCTCGTTGAACAGAGTGAAAGTTCAAAAATTCTGTATTTGCTTCTTTTACCTGATATCTAAAGATGACTCCCGCTTCGGACAAAGCCTTGGCGAAGGCAACGCCGTGTGTGTAAGGCGCAGTGAGGTCGGCTAGACCATGAAGGAGATAAAGGCTGTGACTAGGTACTAATCTCGCTCGTTGCGTGAGATCAGCTTCCACGTAACCCTTGTAATTCTCAGCTGGAGCACCGAGGATTCGTTCCGTAAATGCAGAATCTACGGTTGAGAATAGTGAATTTTAACAATAATTAAACAACAAATGTTTTCACAATTTTAAAAACGCGCACGCTTAGGTCAAATACTCTTTATATATGAAATATTCACATACTGTAGTACATCCAATCAGCGATTGGATTTACCGCGACGCCACACTTGAAGACATGCTCCTGACTCCCGAGCACCATAGCGGTAACGTATCCACCATAGCCCCATCCCCAGACGCCGACTCTGTCGATGTCGAGAAACTTGTGCGTTTCCAAGAGATGTTTTAACACGGTTAGCTGATCCTGTACTTCGACGCCGCCTATCTTTCTGAATAGATCCCTCTTTCCTTGACCTCGGGCACCGCGTACGTCCAGTCTAACGTAGACAATGTCATTACGACTCGACATGTACGTTCCCCAATCTATTCGGAACTTGTCCGTGACCGCCTCGCTACCGGGACGGCCATTTACTTCAACAAGCACGGGAAACGCCGCGTCCCTAAGCTCCTCCCGCCATGAAGGAGGTAGCAACAGTTGCACCTGCGCCCGCCAGCCTTGAGGTAATGGCACCTGTCGATTATTTGGCCATATATTAGATATATAGTGATAGAATCAATAATGATCGAATTCCAGACACAGGCAGATAACCACCTCAAAGTTTCTTCTGGTAGGCAACGCGAGTTCTGACAGCTTATCCGCGCGTTGGATTCTCGTGTCGTATAGCACGCGAACCATTTTGTGCGATGACATCATGTGTATACCAGCGAGAGGAAGGCCGGGACCCTCGCAATGTAATACGTAGTGACCTTGTGCGTCATCGTCCACTGATGGACTGACAGAAGCAGCGAAGTGCGTGCAATTCGTATAATAAAACCTGCAATACATTTTTCAATTCATTTTAACATACACGATCGATTGTACCAATCTGGTACGTCGTATCTTTTGCGGAGTGGAAGAATCAAACTTGCCTACTGCTCCAAAGAACTTCTCCAAGATCGCACGTGATACACAATGGTTCGAAATGACGAGGATCATCCGCACTGGGATCTCGTACCACATAAAGATGTCTCTGACCAGGTCTTTTCTCTCTGGTGCCTAGATAATAGACGAGATGTGCCTTGGTGTCCCATGCTAAGATCTCGCTTACCTGTTTTAATTAAATTTTGTTGTATAATTAAATTCTTATACAGAGTGTAAGTAAAAAAGGTACATGAAGCGCACCATTAGGCGCAGGACAACAAACTAAATTGAAAAGTCCTAAACCATTTTTTAATCTAAGCTTTATTTTTGGCGCTATACATTGTTAAAGTTTGCCAAATAGTGCGTGGCTACAACGGAAAACAGCGTAGACGTCGCCTCAGTAGGCGTACTAAGGCCTACTAGGTGGAGGCCGCGGGCTCGGAGAGTATCCAGATTCAAGTAGGCGCCGTCTTAATAGACCTTAGTACGCCTACTAAGGCGGTGTCTACGCTGTTTTCCCTTGTAGCCACGCGTTATTTGGCGAACTTTAACAATTTATAGCATCAAAAATAAAGCTCAAATTAAAAAATGGATCAGGACTTTTCGATTTAGTTTGGTGTCCTGCACCTGATGGTGTGCTTCGTGCACCTTTTTTTAGTTACACTCTTAGTATACATCTTTATAATATACTATTTTTGTAACGATCATTTCTTTTTCTCTTATTGCGTCAATCTCAAAAATTGCTCACCTCATAACGACCATGAGAGAGTACCGCTATTCTCTGCTGTGTAAGCGTGATGTGCTTTATATGCGTGAAATGCTCCTTCTCGCCTTCCTGCACTGTGGCCAGCAACAAGAAGCTGTCGCCATCCGGAGCAAAGAGAGGATGCGGTTGAGCATCCAGCCATAATCCTTCGGGCGCTCTTTCCGAGTGAGTCTCTTCGCATTCCCACATAGGAGCGCGGCAGGCCGATACCAACGACAAATTTTGCATCCTTGTCATCCAAACGACAGCGATCTGCGAAGCGTCGTCGCCAACCCAACCGGCTGATATCAAATAATAATCTCTGAAAACATTTTGCGAATACGGATTTCGTCAGTATACAGAATGACAAAGGTAAAGATGGCTTAGACACACTTTATCATACTTTTGAATTTGTATTAAAGAACTTCGCCTATTTTTATAGAGGTTTCTAGGTCCTCCGAGCAGAAATAAGACACATAACAAATTGTAGAGCATCATGAAAAGACTAAAAATTTATAAATACCAATATCCAAAACACCCGGTCAATGTTAAGTTAACGTCATCAATGTTGGTATATATAAAGCGCATTTATTTTGTTATCTATGCTTACACAATGCTTTTAAGCTTGCAATAAAGTAATAATTTTTTATTTTATAGTTGAACAAGACTTTCAGAATTCTTATTTTTGCGTTTGTCCTTTCCAAAAATTTTTTTGCGTTCAAAACACTACTTCGTGAAGCTGCTTTGGACGTAAATGGTGTTTGTACCAGGCTGTTGTTTTCACATCATGTCAGTTATTTGGTATCTAGGATATCCTAAATACCTTTCAGAAATAATAACGTAGATATTTGAGAATCGCCAGACAGAATTTAAAAAAAAGTAAGATTCTTCTCTCGACCGTACTGGCAAATATTATTTATTAAATCACAACGTTTCGAACCTTCTTTGAGTCATTATCAAGTGATTTGTAAAAATAAAAATAAAATTATAATTTTATTTTTATTTTTACAAATCACTTGATAAGGACTCAAAGAAGGGTCGAAACGTTGTGATTTAATAAATAATATTTGCCAGTACGGTCGAGAGAGGAATCTTACATTTCAGAAAGTATATATACTTTCTGAGCACAGTAATAATGTATTCATTACATTAAACAGTTTTGATGAAGAGCCATTAAACGAATAAATGACAGCGCCCAAAATAGGCGAAGTTCTTTATTTAAAGCCAAACATTTTATTATATAATTTCTCGGGCAATTAAAAATTCCAGAATAAAAGTTAACGTACTGTCCGTCCAAGGCCGGCGGCGGCTTCAGCTTCATTTTTGCTGACAATGTCGTGTTGCCCATGCCACTGTAATTCATCGAGCTCATATTCCCGAGATCTACAATCCACAATTCGACCTCTGGATTGGGTGAACCCGGTCTTGGATATCTAATTGATCTAGAAGGCGGGAAGGATTTGGATATTCCGAGAGGATTCGAACCAGTTCCGTCTTGACCTAGCTGCGTACCGAACCAAGGAAACTCCAACGCGCTCACTCTGGTGTCGTTAAACGTGGCGTAAAGGATATGCGTGCCGTCCGGACTGGGCCATGTCGCTTGCGGTTTCGGCAACACTTCTTCCTGATACAACCAATCAGGCACCCCGTTGTAAATAACTCCGGGTACGCCCGTATCGGTCATACGAATGTCCTGGGCCGTAGGCTCCATTCTAAGATAAATATCGTTTTCGGAGATCATGAGGAGACCGGTCGTGTTGCCCAACCAAGCGGCATGTTGCAGTCGCGACTGTCGCGTACGTGGCACTGCTTGCAAGCGAAGTGGTGTATGATGGCTGTCAAGTGGAAGATCATGAAAAAAAATGCATAATATTAATTGTATGCCAAGATTTTAATTATATTAATACGTTTTTAATATAGAAATATAATTTAAAAGAGATTAATTATTTAATTATAATGTGATATAATTTGTTAAAAAAATTAATAGAACAACAATACTTATATATATGTCTTTGTTATCTATTTTAATATGCATCCAAATTTTAAACTTTTAAAATATATTATTATTGTTCAACAAAAAAATAACTTTTTTTAACACCAGAAGTTAATTATTTTTATAGGTTTTTGAACGCTAAACATGAATCCGGTTTCCAAATTGCTTCATGTTACAATTTTAAAAAATTTGCAATCAAAGTTGCAAAAAAAGGTTATTTTTACAAACTTTGTCATATTATAGCTACAATATGTGACGTGCTAAAAATATTACAATCCAAATAAAGTATGTTGTTAAGACTTTCAACTTAATTTTGAATTTGATAATTTTGACATTAAATTCGTATTCAACGACCTTAAAACCCTTAAGTTTAAATAATAATTGAAAGCTATTTGATAAATCGTCAATAACTTAAATCATAGTTAACTTCCGCAATAAATTCCATAAGTATTTAACTATGGATATTTTATTAACCATGAGAGACTAAAAGTTCTTTTGAGAGTTGAAAGTTCTAACAACATACTTTATTTTGATTGCAATAAAACTTCTCCAGCCCACATATTGTAGCTATAATATAACAAAGTTCGTGAAAATAGCTCCTTTTTGCAACTTTAACTGCAAATTTCCCAAACTTATGACGTAATGGAGCAATTTGAAAACTGGATTTGTGTTCAGCATTCAAAAAACTATAAGAACCGGTTAGTCTCGTTTCGATATTTTTCGAATTGTGTTATATCATCTCAAGAAAAGTTTGATAAAATTAAAAACAATATCTTCTATATATTTAATCACTATATGCACTTACTCGTTTGTGACATCGTAAACGGTGTAGTGAGCAGTAAAAGTATTTCGAAAGACCTGCATAAAAATTACCCATTTGTACCATATAAAATATAAAATGTATGATCGGAAACAAGTTTATAGTGCATACAGTCTATGTTTTCTCGATAGCGATAATCGTCTGTTAACTGCAACTAAACTGTACTGCATCGTATTACATGACTGAACATTACCGATAAGCCACAGATCGTAAAGTTAGGATGCAGCTGCTGTCCAAAAAACTTTTCCCGAAGAAGCTTCTGCTGTTTAAGCTACTTACCGGTTTGACATTGTGCCGGAACAGTACATAACGTAGATCAGCGCTGCATTCGTAGCCTTGGACATTTAGTTGTCTCTGAAAAAAAAATAAAGTTTATTAAAAGTTAAATAATACTTTACATTATGTTAATTTTACACAATATCAAATTAAATTTGATTTTAATATGCTAGAACAATACAAAACACGCGCTACGCGCGTGCCATTCTTCAATTTTATGTTAAAAAGAACAATATTTTTAACAAATAATAAAGTGTTTTAACTGAATTAATATTTTTTGACAGAAATCAGTTGATAACTGTCACAAATATTAATTGAGTTTAAAGTATTATTAATATACACATTACTTAAAATATATTATTTTAATTTTCATAACATTATTATTTTAAGATTTAATTAGCAAATTAACATTTCAATCAGCTAATTTCTGTCATAAAGTATTAATAAAGCGTTAATTTGCTAATTAAATTTTACAATAATATGCTAAAAATATTAAAATGTAGTAATATGTTGTATAATTGTTATAATGCCTTATCTGTGCGATTATGGTTTTTTTACAGAAATCAGTTGATAACTATCAAAAATATTGATCAAATTTAAAATATTATAATATATTATTTAAAACATATTATTTAATTTTATTTTATTTTGAACAGACTCTCAAACTGCTAACCTTGGCGATAATAGCTGCTCGTTACAAATATAACGCACAACGCGAATTGAAACAGCCAATCAGCATCACGGAAAAAGGCAACAATACTTGCAAGAATCGACTTAATATACCTTTTTTAGAATGAAAACAATTTAGTTTGCAAACAATTCGCATTCTATGTGCTATTAAGGGAATATCTTTTCTCATCGCAAACATTTCTATTATATTTATATGTCCAGAGTACTTCTAAATAAGTGCGAAAAGTTTTAGATGATTCTTTTCGAAAATTAAGGGAGATTTTTTATATAAACATATACTCCTGTAGTCTTCCCTAAGGAGTTACACTTCTTTAAAAGGAAAGGTGAAAATTAAGTTTTTATTTTTTCTTGAAAATTATTGATTTTACGAAAAAAATTAAAAAATAAAAAAAAATAAAAAAATTTCTAAAGGAATCAAGTCTATAACGCACATTTTTAGATGACCAAAATAATAAAAAAATTTTATAAAAAATTAAATAGGAATTGTTATTTTTATCTCTTTATATAAACGGGTAGATTAAAAATGTATTAATAAATATTCTTTTTACTAGTAAAAAATCTCCACCAAATTATTTAAAAACTCCAAAATTTAATAAAAAAATTAAAAACCTAATCTTCATCTCCCTTTTAAAGGAGTATAGATACTCTTTAGAAAATGATATAAGTGATACGTTTATATAAAAAAAACTCCTTAATCTTTGACAAAGAATCATTTCCTAAAGTTTTTCACACCCTTATTTACTCGATATATTTAACAACTTTTGTTAGAAAATATTTTATTTTCTAGACGTTGCCACAAATATCAGCGTATTTCTGTGTGATTCAAATACAAAGCCTATACTAGCTAGTACACTATACATTTACGTACAAGCGTATGATTAGAGACCAAAAGGGACACGCTATTGTTGCGAGTATTCAAGAGAGTAAGGGAACCATCATCAGCTTGGTAGACAAACTTTTCGTGGGTTAGCCAGGTCGGTGGTAACCTGTGTGGTGTCAGGTCATCACGAAGGCACTCGTCCAACGTAAGACGCCTGCCGCTCCAATACAAGAGCTCATCAACGTATCTGTAATTATAGTAATGAATAATTATCTCAAATTGTTAAGCAACAAGTCGCTGTTGTAACTTTGTGACTCGATATTGAAGCTATGATCATGGATAAAATAGAAGATGAAACTTTATATATATATATATATATATATATATATATATTTATAACAAAACTACTATAACAAAGCTATAATAACAAATAATAATAAAAAAGAATAATAGTTAATGTGTGTATGTGTGTGTAAGTAAGAGAGAAAAAAAATTGAAAAATATTATTTTAAAAATTATTGTGAGCAAAAATGTCTCTTTATACTCTACTACAAACGTAGATCCTACATAAAAGGATAAATTTAATTCGCTTTGTGTTAGAAACATTATAATGAAACTATAAAAACTTTTTCTAAATTATGTTAGAACAAACAAGACTTTACGTATATGTATATATATTTAATTATGGCCAAAATTATAAAATATTGTAATCTGAATTTTGTATATATTAAAAATAAAATCTCGACGGCAATCGGAGCCTGTGCGGACGACATGCACAAAATTAATAAATTAAAATGAGATCTCAAATCAAACTCATTTATTAAATTCTAAACGTTTCGACCCACTTCGGGTCTTCTTCAGTAGCTGCAAAATACAAAGAAACAAAAATAAAAGATAATCGGTACAAACAGAAAATTATAAAACTCGTATACATACAATCCGCAAATAAATTAAATATCATTCTCCTCCCTATTCAAACCGTCCGGCCGTCGGAGTGTCTCCCTAACGGTGACCATCGTCAGGAAAGAAGCAGAGCAGTGACTCCCTTACCAACACTAATCAACATAGTATATAAATAAGTTTATAATAAGTAATAAATGAGTTTGATTTGAGATCTCATTTTAATTTATTAATTTTGTGCATGTCGTCCGCATAGGCTCCGATTGCCGTCGAGATTTTATTTTTATTGTAACACAATAATTCGAGCCGAGATTAACAGTTTTTTTTATTTTGTATATATTGTCAAAAAAAAAAACATAACAAAATCATAAATACATTGTGTGAAGATCTTGTAATTGTCAAAACAAATGTATTAGTAAAACATTTATTTATATTAAATATTATTTTATTATAAAGTTTATTCAACTGCAAATTACATTATGAAAAAGATATATTAAAGTTTCATTTAACAGCATGATTAATTTGTTACGTATATATACATTAGCTAACTCATTTGAAAGAAAAATGACAAGTATAATAGGTATACAAAAATTAAAATATAAAAGAAAGAGAAAAAAGTATGAACTCACCCGAGGAGATAAATTGCCGTGACGATGCCAGCGATAACGAAGCCGATCACCAGGAGTGAGAAAATTATGCTCCGCCAATTGTGACCGCCATCCCCATACGTTAAATCCTGTGGAAGAAGACATCTTCCTACGTAATTATCAGTCTATTAATGAGATCGATGAATGAGTTATAGTGCAAAAGCGTACTAGAGACATGCTGGTCACGAATAGGAGAGTGAGAGGACTTTAGAGAATAATTAGGAAGATTTAACACATCGATGAGAGAGAAAGACAGGGAGAGAAAGACGAGCGATCAAGATCAGAAGAGACTCTACATCTATATAATATCTTCATACACTGTTGTGATTATCGCGAAAAAAGAAGTGCAAAAAAATGTAACGAACTATATATACTAGAGTCAAGATTTTTACACATACACACATATAAGTGTTGTACAACATATACATATTCTCCGTATGCTTACAGGGTGTTGTGTGTATAATATACATGTAATATTATATATTGTACAGTTTGTTATCGTAAATTATATAATTAAAAGCCAAAAATTATTTTAAACCAGACAAAGTGTTTCTTATAGATTTTAAATAATTAAGGTATATTAATGTGTAGAATATGGCTTTTTTGCGATATTTGAGGTTCTTTGTTAAAAAGATTAATGTTTTCTGAATGAATATGATGATGTATTGTTCAGCCTCAATAAAAAATGCATTTTCTAAATTTTAATATTTTATTTTGTTATGAAACACTAAAACTGAAAACTACTCATATGCTCTTGAGGAAAAATTATTTTTTCCAAAATTAAATTTATTATTATTTATTCCCCTTTAGATTATACAACTTGTTTGGAAAATTTTTTCGAAATTACATTTGTTTCGAAAAATTCAAGGTAAGTAATTAAAATGAGATATTCTATATATAAATATATACACTTAAAATTAGTGAAATTAATCATATATCTCAGCAAAACTCTGTATTTAATTCCTTCCTAACTAGAAACTAAAATATGGAAATAAAAAATGCATTTTATAAGGGATGAACTTCTGATCAGAATTTCAAAATAACCTTGATTTTTATTATAAAAAGAAATTAAACATATCGCGAAAAAGTCATTTTTTGCATATTAAATCTCAGTTATTTAAAAAAAACGTGCTGATGAAAATCGACTTGCGAATTTCAGCATCCAAAAATCTATAATTGTCTGATTCGAAACGATGAAAAAAATATTTTTTTTGTAAACTAATGTTATTATTTATTCTCGTAAATTATATTCATGTAATTTCAAAAAATGTATACTGACGCTTTTTTTGTTTTTACCAATCATATATCATAACATGTGCATTTTTTGATCATAAAGTTAAATCATTGCATTGTAAGTATAGCTTTTTCGTTAATTAGCAACTACATGGAAGCATGTCAGATATACGTAATACTTTTTGCTCTAGATTCAATACATTATGCAGGCTTTGCAAGAAACACGTCAAAGTTCTTTAGTAACCGTGGTTTGGCTAAAATTCAAGGAAATTTTTTTCATCGCCAACAAAATTTTGCGTCTTTATCGCGTGGATCGCAATTTCCGGAATGGAAATCAACTCTGTTTTCTTCTACGACGCAGCTTTAAGTACGATTCTTTCGTATCGATGAACATTTGTTTTTGAGAAAATTATTTATTCAATAAAACTTTTATATTATTCGCGAAGTTTGTCTAGAATCTCATCAAATATTACATTATAAGAAATATCGCAGATAACGATAACGATTTTAAATGAATCATTCTTTGCGACAAATTTGCTGATATAATACTGTTTATACATATAATCCCCGAGGTATATACAATTTATTTTCATGCATTTACTCCACGTCAACATTCCACAAATTATGAATATCGACAATGGAAATATGTATTTGATGAGCGGCTTATTATCAAACTCCCCTTGTAAATAAATTAAAAAATTAAAAACCGACGCGGTTATTTATTCAGCTTGAAATTGTCCTTGCGGACTAGCGAAAATACTGTGTTCTCTCGACGTTACAGGAACAGACTTTATTCTCGTAGATTATAAAAACGCTTTTGGGGTCGCGAAGTTCGATCGCGCCGCCGTCCAGAATATCGCGGTTTTTGTTCGCCTTCATGAAATACGTCACCGGCTATGTTATGCATATTGCATACGAGTTATGCACCTGCACAGTCGCTCTCTTGTCTACCGGTTATCGGGCCGGATAACACGTGCGAGTCGTGTAAATGAGAGTCGCGCGCCAGATTTCGTATTACGTGAGTTGTATAATGTACGCATCGTTGTATACCTCCGCACCTATTAGAATAGCCCTGCGTGTGTGTTTCAGAGCAAACTTTAGACAAACATGACAGATCATTTGTTGATATTTGTCGATGAGACTATATTCACTTGCGATCGACCAAATGTGACGTTACGAAGGAAAACATAAAATGATGCTCAAGATGCATGAGCATTTTGTTAAATAATAATGTATAATAATATTCAAATTAAATCATATATGAATTAAATAATAAAATAAAGATAAAAATAATATAAAATATATAGTAAAAATAATAAAAATAATAAATATATTACATAATATATAAAATAATATATAAACTATATATATATATATATATATATAACTATATATATACTGGCAAATATTATTTATTCAATCACAACGTTTCGACCCTTCTTTGAGTCCTTATCAAGTGATCTAGATATACATAGACAGAGATTAATACAATAAAAAAACAAAATTACTTCACTAACAATATTACAAAATGATAAAAAGAAAAAGAAGCGAAACATACTTGTAAAAATAAGAATAAAATTATAATTTTAAGATGTCAAGAACGAACATAGTGTCGGTTTGACAACACGTCAAGACTCTTAGACGAGTTATTGGAGACTAAACGATCTTTATTATTTTGTCGTAGATATTACTTAGATTGTCGGTATCCTTTTGTAAATTAATAGCGTTATTATTTTTCTTAATAAAAAACATTTCAGCGATTTCTCTTTTTCTTACGTGCTTTTCACTATGTAAAATAACAGGCGAAGTCCAGTCAAAATCGTGATCGAATTCAATTTTATGTTTGCTGATAACTGATAAATTACTCGAATGCATTTTGATGTTCCTGAAATGTTCCTTTACACATGTACAAAGACGTCTTTTTGTTTGTCCGATGTATGACACGTTGCAATCCTTACAATTAATTTTGTAAACTACTTCAGTTTTTTATCTGTGGGCAGTCTATCCTTGCCGAGTGTAATTAAATGATTCGGTTTTTTAGGAACATTATGAACAACATTAAATCCGATATTTTTAAAAATTCAATCGATATCGCCTAAGCTATTAACATAAGGTAGTGAAATGAATTATTGAAGTGAATAGTGCAGTTAAATATTTATTATATATATATATATATATATATATATAAAATATATGTATAATATAAAAAATAATAAATTAAATAATAATAATAGATATTTTTTATAAATTTTTAAATGCCGCAAACCAACTTTTTTTTACCAGCGCATCAGATTTCCGAAACGATTGAGGTTCAATATACAAAAATGACATTTTTTACGATATTTGAAATTTGTGAAAAAGTTAACGTTATCTGAAAATTCTGAATAGATGTCATGAATATATTGTTCAGCCCCTATAAAATGCATTTTTTATTTCAATATTTTACTTTTTAGTGATAGAATGGATTTAAATACAGAATTTTCCTAAAATAGCAAATATTCCGTCTATGATGATGAAATAGATTCCACTAAATGTATTTTCATATATAAAGTGTCTCATTTTAATTGTTTAATTAATTTAATTAGATTAAATTGTTCTTAAATTTTTCGAAACAAATGCATCGAAAAAATGTTCCAGACAAATTATATGATCTAAAGGGGGACAAAGAAAAAATGGTAAAATCAATTTGGAAAAAAACAACTTTTTCCAAAATTTTTTTTTCTTTAAAAGTATCTCCATATAAAAAATAAGATATTGAAATTTATAAAAATCTATTTTATAAGAGATAAACAATACATTTATAATATTTGATCAGACTATCCAAATAACGTTAACTTTTTTTACAAAAAAATTTCAAATTACAAATTAGTAAAAAAGTCATTTTTGATTCATTAAACCTCAATTATTTTGGAAATCTGATATGCTAATATTTGGTTTGCGGCGTTGTTTTCAGTACCAAAAAATCTACAAGAAACACTATCTAGTTTAAAATAATTTTTGATTGTAAAATAATATAATAAAACCAAGTTGAAATATTTTCATCTATTTAAATTCAGCAGCTTAATATTGTAATTTAAAAATTAGCAGTTTCATATTTGGCATGTTGTATAAAACATGTAAATGTTTCTACATTTGTACTATTTGCAACATAATAAAAGAATAATAATCGACAATTATACATTCTACCGATCGATAGCATCACGTATCGGAAATATTTTTGATTGCCTCGACTATTAACGACAAAGCAAAGAATTTTCAGTCTGAAATATACAGTTTAAAATGATCTCTCAAAATATAATCCCCCGGCCTTCTCTCGGATATCGTCGATAATGACTTTACTCCATATACAACTGGATAAACGATGGATCACCGCGCCGCTGACGTTATGTTACGATAATCGTTTTTTGACGATCTGTTTATCTCCGGATAAATAATTGTCGATCTCTCGTGTTCGAATAATTCGCCACATGACAAATATCTTCGAGATACGACTCGTTCTTTCTTTCTGTTCTGTTCAATCGATCGATTGTCGCTGCTTTGCATTCAAAACGCATAGCGGCGTGCACACGAGTTACATAGAGTGACTATAAATTCACCTCGAAACATTAGACTTCGCGAGCTGATATCTACATTGCGTATAATCTTGCACGACGTACACATTATTTTACGAAGATTCGCGCCACTTTATACAATAAACTACGATAATGCAGCGAAGATGCATTTAATTTTTATGTGCGCTATATGATCTTCATACGAGTTAAATATTATTTCATGGTTATACTGTAAAATCACAGAATTTTTGTAAACAACTTGCTATATGCAGGCATACATAACGCCCTAAAAACCTGAAAAATTG